CGCGGGGTGCGCGGCGGGAGGCGTGGAGCGGGGGTGCGCGGGGTGCGCGGCGGGAGGCGTGGAGCGGGGGTGCGCGGCGGGAGGCGTGGAGCGCGCGGCAGGAGACGTGGAGCGGGGGTGCGAGGTGACGGTCGGGATGAGTTAGGAATGGTTTAGACAGTAAGCTCGTTCTCAGACCTAATAAACTGCATGTGTTCTTTTCTAGTACGACTTCACAAATTTTGATCCGGCTTGGTGTAAGAGAAGATCCCTGACCTACTTAGGTGAGCCGCTGTATTTTCTGTGATTGGAGTGTTTACACAGCCTTAAGAGTTGTAGATGTCGCGTTGGCTTAGGGTTAGTGCTAGGTATCTTGTGTTACTAGGATTCTGGGCTCGTGGTAGCTATCGTGTCTAGGGTAAATAACGCGTCTGTAAGAATTAAACAGATTCTAAATTTTTTTGGTGTTTTCATTTGCAGTATGTTTGCCTTTGAACATGAAAAAACGAAACTGACTCTATTGAGTAAAGAGAAGTCATCACTATTTCCAGGCTTGCCTAAGACAGCCCCGTAGCGGAGGAGGAGGCATCGGACCTTTGGGAAAGATTATACTAGGGGTTGGGTGGGCCGGAGTGTGGCCCAGACGCGTGCGGGCTCACGTGACCCGTGCGTGAGGCTGCAGACTACTGCTAGTTCTCACGGTCGCGTGCCTGTGGGAGAAGTGTAAGGGAAGCGGTAGCGCTGCCTGTCAGTCGCCCGCTTATTCATCCGTATCGGTGATGCTGGGAATCGAGCCCAGGGCCCTCTCACAGTCCCAACTCCTTGGAGACAGCAGGCTTGGCAGGTTATCGTGCTGGGCTTGAATTTAATTTTGAATTTTTGTGAAATGTAAACCATTTATTGGTAGTTGCTTTGACGGATTACACCAACTACTCTAATTGGATGAACAGATCTATTTTGTTTCTAACCCAAGTGAGTTGATTGGAAAAGTATGAAAAGAATTCCAGATATTTTTGAATTTAGAAAAATACTAAAGTAAACTTATATTTTAGTTTGAAATTTGTACTGAAACTTAGTTTTTAAGAAAAACCCAGAACTATAAAGTGGAGCCCCATCAAATTACCAAGGGGGTAGAGTAATTTTCAGAGGAAAAGCCATATTTAATAGAATATCTGAGTGTTTTGTAGTAGAACTTTTCCTTTTATCACTGGATTTGGAGACACTGTGTGTTAAATGGACATCTGAGGCCCAGTGAGGGATGTCACCGGGAAGAAGGAAGGCTAGGTCTGAAGCCGGGCCTGGATTGAGAGTTCCCAAGTAGCATTCCTGCCATGCTGTTGTATGGCATTCCTGCCATACTTGGGGAGCGGTTCCCTTCAGCTCTCCGGATTTTATGGGACAGGGTTGAAGGCATCAGTGCTGTTTACTGCCCTTGACAGGGGGCTGCTAGGCCCACACACGGAAGTGGAGAAGGACTTCATAGTCTTACGGCGCCGTGTAACTGGGAGGTTTGATGCTGCTTTCTGTAAGCTTGCATTAGGGAGAGCTGCAGATAGAAACAGTTGAGTAGTTGTGGGGGTCACCGCATGAGGCTAGAGGGTCTCACTGCATCTGTGTCTTACTTCAGATGCCACTGTTTTCCTTGCAGATGATGTGGATGCTGGTTGCTGTGGAGATAAAATCAGCTCATTCGTAAGCGGCGATTCTGGGGAAAGGAAGCATTGTGCGGTGCCGTTTTGCAGTTCATTCAGACACTTGGCTGTGAATTGGTAAAGTACCCCAAGTTCTTTGTCACGCTTCCCTCAGCGTGTGGAAAAACTGAGAGGGAAAAGGACAAATGCTCACATATCTGCTTTTCCTTGAGAGGAAATGTAAGCAGTGTGGAGCCTGCCCCGGGTTCTTCTCAAAGCTATTTATCAGGGACTCAGAGAAGGCCCTGCCTTCTCCTTTAAAACGAAAAGAAGGGGCCGGGGAGATGGCTCAGTTGATTAAGCACTTTCCTGGCAAGCGCAAGGGCCTGAGTTCAATCCCCGGTTCCACCAAAAAAAAAAAAGAAAAGAAAAGAAAAGGAAACAAAGCAAGACAACAGACACCAGGACAGTGTGTGTCTGCTCTGTGTCTGCAGTGCATAAGGTTCGAATGTAGTGTGATCGGGGGAATGGGCGCTGCAGAACACGCATGGTGCAGCGCTGCTGCAGAGCATGCATGGTGCGGGGCGCTGCAGAACACGCATGGTGTGGGGCTGCTGCGGAACACGCATGGTGCAGCGCTGCTGCGGAACACGCATGGTGCGGGGCGCTGCAGAACATGCATGGTGCAGGGCTGCTGCGGAACACACTCAGTGCAGCGCTGGCTGTGTGAGCCGTGTTTCCTGGAGGTGAGCAGTATAAACAAGCTCAAATGACAGTGTGGCGTCATTAAGGGCATCGAGAAGATGGACACATCTTAACATAAAGTCATGTGGACGTTTGTACACACAGAATAAAGTCTTGAGGGCTGGGGAGACAGTTTGGCGGTCTGAGTGCCAGCCCGGCAAGTGCAAGGACTGAGGTTGGATCCCTAGCACAGCAGGCTGCGCTGGCCCCTCGGGCCCACTGAGCCAGTGACCGAGACCAGGCGTGGTGGCGCTGGGGAGGCCGAGACAGGAGGATCACTGCGAGTCCAAGCTGTATCGTGAGCCCTTGTACCAAATAATAAATAAAAGAATAAAGCGTTGACATCATTGTGGAGAGAAAAAGACAGTTAAAATACAGTCTGCTGTTAATGTAATATTTGAGAACTTGAATTTTTGAACAGATGACCCCTTAAGTGAATCGGTTCATGTAGACGTGGAGATGTGCTAGGTATGTAGAGACCTCAAATGTGAAGCATGATCTTTTTATTTTTTTGTTTTTGGAGACAGGGTCTCACGATGCAGCTCAGGCTGGCCTTGAAGTCACTGTGATCCTCCTGCCTCAGTCTCCAGTGCTGGCGGGCGTTCACCACCACACCTGGCACGTGCTCATTATTGTTATCACTGTTGCATTTGGCCTTCACAAAATAGTCTAGATCTGAGATGAAGACACGAGAGGTTGTACAGTAGAGAATATGAAATTGCTTTTAGTAATAGCTACGAACTTATGGAAATTATTTTCCTGTGTTTAACTGCTTAATCATTTTTTCCATTTTGGTAGAAGACTTTTTATAACTCCAGATTATAATTTGGAAGTTCAGTGCTGTGAAGGATCTGTTGGCATCGGACAGTCCCCTGCACTCTCGATTGTGAGAGCAGGTCAGCAAGGCCTGGGGTTCCAGGCCTTGCACACCGAGAGGCTGGTCTGCATCAGGTGCTGCAGGGATGTTATCTGTTGGAATACTAACGTTTTAGATGTGGAGGGGTAAATACATTGTTCAAGTTTTGCATTTTAATAAGATGCTACCAGAAAAATTTAGATTATCTGTGTAACCTGAATTACATTCCCCAGACACAGGACTGCTCTGCAGCTTTCAGCTGTGAGATGATCGCTTGCCAGTGGGTGCTGCACGCTGTCGTTCTGCCTCTTCTCTCCCACGTCTGTCGCCTGTCTGTTGACTCCCTTGGGCTCAGCTCCCTCTTTAATTCTTTAGTTGAAAGTGTGGGCAGCAGTACCTGTCACGTCTGTCTCACTGAATTTCTGGGTGTCCAAAGAAAGCTTGGCAGCTAGCTGTGAAGTGTTGGTCAGATGTGTGTAGCCTTACTCCATGACTTGCTCATTCGGTTTCACGTGCTGAAATGCTGAAAGACATAGTTACAGGTTGACATGCTCAGTGGCTTTAGTTTTTAATTTTTACTTTTTGTGTGTTTTTAATGTTTTAAAAAAGTGCTTCCTTCTTAATGTTTCTTGTCATGCTATTAATATTTGAAAAGCAGTTTTATGTTTTTCAAATGCTATAGTAAACCTCCAGATTGCTGTGATAGAATTTTTTTTTTAAAGCCTAGATGGTGAACAGGATTCTTTTTATGGTTTGAAGAAACAGGAAACAGAGGAAGAGTTAATTGAAAATGATCACAGAGTTAGTACCTCAAAAATGACCAAGCAGTCCTTGAAAGAAATAGAAAAAGGTAAGCTACTTTTGTGCAATAGAATACAAAAGCTTACTTGTGGAGATGGTGCTGGCCTCCAGCGTCAGTGTGTGTCATGTTCCGATGCTTCCCTCTGGGGACAGCAGCAGGCCTGTTCTGGGCCAGCGCTCACTCGGGCCATGTCCCAGAGCTACACAGTTCTGTGTCTGTTTTTAAACTAAAGGAGAAGAGAAAAGTAAAGTAGATTACTTTCCAGCTACAAGCCTGTGTTCTTGAAACTTGCCAGAGTGAGCTCATAATTAGCAGAATGCTTCAGAATGCCTTCGCTTCTCTCGCCTTGCTGTCTGATGGGAAGTGAGGTCTCTGTTGCCGTTGAGCAGCCCCACATTTTGAGACCCTAAATCCTAGTGGGGAGCTCTGGCACCTCTGCGGCTCTGGCCACCTTGCAGCCTTGCCAGGATTCAGAGGAGGTGGCACTTTTGCCCCTGCATCTGTGGTGCAGCCCCCACCCCTTCTACCCTGATCCCCATTTGAGGACGATGAAAGTCAGTTCAACCTGAGCCTGTGCTTCACATTGCATGCTAGATCTTCTCATGGAAAACAGGATAAACTATTTTTAAAAATTGAGTATATTTGAAAGTTGACCAAAGAGTACATACAGATGCGCAGGCCAGCAGCTGGTGAGGTAGGGACCTAGCAAGCCAAGCCCTTGGTTTGTCTTCCTTCACTTTTAGGTGTTTGCTGAACAAAAGTGAAACTTAAAAAAAGAAAAAAAAAATTCACAGCTAGCTGCCTATAATCTTAGTACTCAGGAGGTTGAGGCAGGAGAATCAGTCCTGATTTGAGGCTGGTTTGAGGCCACCCTAGGCTTCATAGTGAATCCAAGGCCAACCTGAACTACAAAGTAAGTCCTTGTCTCACCCCCTGTGTGCTGGGATAAGAAAGAGTCAACAGAAGGACATGCTAAATAACCTGCAGGGCATGTGGGAGGAGGAAAAAGAAAACAGCAGCAACAGCTGCGGGCAAAACCAAGAGCGCTTGGAACTCAAGGACGCCCTGCTCTGTGTGCTTGCCCCCAGATGCCCAGCCGGTTCAGCCTAAGCATTAATGCTGGACACATACGAAGGGATCTTGTTATGGTCACCTAACGTGACCTGAAAGCTGAGATTCAAGTTATATAAAAATAAAGACCAAAGCCGGGTAGCAGCCTTTTTGCTGTAGCCCTTGCTTTGCTTCCATTGAGTATCTGTGTGTCTTTGTGGCCGGCACCCGTGAGTCTTTCCCAACACCCACATTTTTATTCATGGCTCCTTTAGCTTCTGTCTAAGATTTGGAGTATGGTACCCCTTCCACCCTGGCTGGGGTTCCCAAGAGACTAATGCCAGTCAGAACTACTGTGAGGATTTTGACTTTTACTCTGAGCAGAAGGGTATCTGAGGCACAGAGTCGTAAGCTAAGAGGAACCCGCTCTTCACCGCACCACTGTGGGCCCAGAGTGGCACTACCAGTACAGCTGAGCAGGGCTTTTGACCCCAGCTGTGGCCCCAGAGCTGCTCTGGGCCTCTGTGCTGGGAGCCTGGTGACACAATGGCTGTCTTGGTCATGGAGTGTATTGGCGCCTATTTGCAAAGCATGATGGAGCGGACCAATTTGCCAGCCTGTCTTGCAATCAGCATGGCTAGATTCAAAGAACATGTTAGTATTTGAAATAGGATGTAGCAGCACTTGGGAGGCTGAGGCAGGAGAGTTGCTGTGAGTTTGAGGCCAGCCCCAACTACAAAGTGAAACCCTGCCTCAAAATACCAAAAAAGAGAACAAAGCCAAGAAACTAGGTTATAGAAATTACACAGTTACAGCACATAAGAAAGTCAAAACAAATGAGGACTTTTCAAATGTGAACAGTAGGAACTAGAAAGAAGGGCAGTGACTAGCTAGCGCTGCGGTTGGTAAGTGGTTAGTCTGGGGGTTCTGAGGCAGCTCTCCATTCTGGACCTGTACGGTCAATACATAAGAGATTGCATGCACTGGAAAATAACTAAGTTTGAAATCATTTGCAGAAAAGAGTGTGGTGAATTTCTGTGTACTCCTGGTGTTCTAAATGTTGCCCATTCACCAGTTTTGTTGCAGCGTTCTCAGAACTTTCTAGCAAGATGTAACTCATGTTACACAGCTCTTCCTGAAGATCACTGTGTCTTAAGAATATTTAAAACTTTTACAGTTGCCCTGCCGATAAAAGTGGCCTCAGGACCTCGTGCCGAGTGGGCTGACGACTCCAGAGATGCCGCTCTGCACCACACTGGCTGTCCAAACTTTAGAGGGTCACGCAAGCAAGGTTTCATTCCTCCTCAGATAACTCAGATATATGACGAGTTATTTCAGATACACCTGAAGCTGCAGGTAAGAACTGTGTTCAGAATCCTGTAGTGAGAATTCAGAAGGAGTCCTGTTCCATATCGAGTATTAGCAAATTTGACTTTGGGCTGTTTCATTTTAATTACTTAGATAATTGGGGCATGGTCCAAAGGTCCAAAAGGAACCAGTGTGGGTCGTGAATGGTCGAAGGGAAGCACGGAAGCAGTGCTTTCCCTGATGGCCCTCAGCCTGACAGTCCGGGCTAGTGCTCCTCTCATCCCGTCCTTTGTTAGTGAGTAAAACCTGCTGAGAGCTGCTGTGCAGAGCAGTGTCTGGGCTCGTTGTTCCAGTCACCTCTGTACACTGACTCCTGTTACCTTGGGCTGTGCTTCGATGGACGCAGCTTATGTGTCAAGTGTCCACTGAGGGTAGAGGAGGAAGAAGTGCAGCAGCCTCTGCTGGGAAGAATGCCCATGAGGCCGCTTAGAAAGGTGGAAGGTTGGGCAGGCACCCCGGTGTGGCCGTTAGTCCCAGCTGCTTGGAAGGCAGAGGCAGGAGGGTCACTGAGCCCGTGAGCTCAGGACCTGACTAGGCAGCGTAAGAAGACCTGCGTCTCTCGCCCACAACTCCCCCGGTACAAGTTTACTGGGGCTCCCACTTTTAGGTCCTCAGCCCTCTCACTCAGCTGTCGTGGGTCTGGCCTGGCAGCAGGAGGGGAGGCTGCTGCGACCAGGCCTTGGCCGCTGGCTGAGGGCCGCGCAGCGCCCAGTCGAGCTGGGGTGAGGGGTGAGGTGGGCCTGGGTTTCAGCTCACAGGGGAGCGGTCGGGGCAGGGCGGTGTGGGCTGGCAGCGGAACGTAAGGTACTTGGGGAGTTGGTAGATGGCAGTGGTCTTGTTGAGATCGCATCCTGGAGGAAGTGGAGGTTCATCCTTTACTGTTGTGCTCGTCACGCATTAGTTTTTAGTGTAAAATTAGATAGTTTTTGATACTGTCAGCGAGTTGTGCTGCGGACTCAGCCACATTTTGAGTATGCCGTCATCCCCGCCCCTGTAAGGCCTCCTTGTTTCCCCGATGGCCCTCGCCTGGCAGATCGGGAGGTCCACACAGATGGGATGCTTTGTTCTGTGGCCTCTGGCACTGGCTCCTCTCACGGAGCAGGGTACTTTCAAGGGGCATAGTACCGGGTCACGTGTCTGTACCCGCTGAGTAATCAGTACTGTGACCTGTGTGTGGATATGTACGTTCTCGGGGTGTAGGTGACTGGAACTCTGGGGGCTTTCTGGCCTGCGTTGGGCACTCAGTGGAAAACTCGGAGTATGAGTCTCGGTCTGAAGTTCATGGCGTGGGTGTTTCTCTTTGTTGTCACCAGGCGGGTAAAGGGTCAGTGCCTTTGTCCAGGTGACAGAAAGACGGTGGAGAGTGAGGCAGTGGAGAGCGGAGGCAGGTGCTGGCCCTGCAGAGGACGTGCTGGCCCTGGGCCCACCGCTGCGCTCTGGGGGCCTCAGCCGGCCGCACCCTCGCAGATGCCATTGCCGCACCAAAGTCTAGCCCCACTGCCATGCGGTGCCCTCTCGGTACCGGAAGTGTATTTCTGAAAGCTGCTGGTGGCTGCTCCGTGAGCCTGGGCGTGCAGTGCATGCAAGCCTTTCACACTTCTGCCCATATTTTGGTGCAGTGCGAGAGTGCGGCGCAGCAGAACTTCGCTGAGGAGCTCCAGAGGCGAGAGCGCTTTTTAGCCGAGCGAGAACAGCTACTCTTCAGACATGAAGATGCCTTGAATAAAATTAAAGGTGTGGAGGAGGAGGTGCTCACAAGATTTCAGATTATGAAGGAGGTAACTATAGCTTTTCATTTTAGAATATTATAATTTCTCTTTTTTTCCCCTAAGATTCACTAATTCTTAACATTTGTCACAGTTACTCATTTCTCCTTCCCCTCACCTCGCGCAGCTGTGCAGATCCCCACTGTGCTGATGGCAGATGTGTCCCCAGAGCAAAGGTCCAGAGCCAGGCCCAGCCCCAGCTCCAGCCCTAGCCCCTGTCCCTGCTCCTGCCACTGCCCCAGCCTGCCCCGCCCCGCTTGGCCTCCAGGGTGTCTTCCGCCACTTTTGTTCTGCTTTGTTTTCTGAGCAGGGAACTGGACAACACACACGCATGCGTCGTGGGCAGATCTTTGGGTTTCTTTGCACTCGGAGTGCTCTGCGCACAGCATCCTGTTTTTGTAGTTTGAAAAGTCCTTCAGCTTGGAGAGCAGCACACCTGGGCTGGCCAGTTTCTTGGTGTTGCTATTTGGTTGAAATCCTTTGGGGTGCACATATATAGGTGCCCTTGGCTCCTCCTGGGCCTCCCCAGAAGGTAGTTACAGTAGGATCTTAAAGAGGTGCAAGTCATTCTGTTTGCCATCTTTTTCTATACGTTCTGAACCAGCAGACAGCGTTGTTGTCACCATTGGCCCTGGGCTCGCGAGGTCCCTGGCTCCTCTGCAGTTCTCCGCAGCCTCGGCCACCCCGTCTGGCCTGTCCCTGTGAGGTCATGCAGGTGGATCATCGACAGCCTGTTTGCCTCGCATACTTCAAGTTTGTCTTATTCAAGGGCTGTATGATTCCTGAATTTGTAAATATAACTATTTGCCAAGTTTGGAGAATTTTCCTTTTAGTAATTTTTTTCTGCTCTAATTTCTTTCTTCTCTCCTGGGTCTCTGATGACTTTTGCTATTAAATATTTCTGAGGTTCCATTCCTGTTTTTTTTTTTTATCTCTCTCTTCTGATTAGATAATTTCCAGTGATTTCTCTTTAGGTTCACTGTTTGTTTTCCTGTTCATGTGGCTATTGAGTCCATTTAGTGGATTTATTATTTCTGATAAAGTTCTAACATTGTATGTATGTATGTATGTATGTGTGTTCAGTGCCAGGTCTACAGGGTCTCACTACGCAATCGCACTTGTAGTGATCCTTCTTGTTTTCAGCCTCCCAAGTGCTGGGGTTACAGGTGTGGGCCTCAGCGGCCGTCTCATTCACTGTCTCAGCGCACCCTGGGAGCAGGGCCAGCACAGCACAACTGGGATTGAACCTGGTCCCTGCCCTCTGCCTGAGCAGGAGCTTTAATCTGCTGAGCTCTCTGGCCCATCCGAGTTCCATCATTTTAAATTATGTTCTTTTAAAAGTTTTTATTTTGTTTTTCTCCTGGGAATTTGTGTCTTCACATTTGCTTTCACACTGAATTTACCTCATGGAGCAGAGGGAGAAGTCCTACTGCCTTGTCTTCTCAGGTTGGTGTCCAGTGATGGTCTTTTTTCTTAAGACTTTGCTGTGTTTTGTTTTTTCAGCAATTTTGGGATTATATTAAAAACTTTTTGATTATGGCTTGTGTGGATTTCATGTCTCCAGAGATTGGTACTGTTTGAAACCTGGTCCCTGCCCCTCTGTGGAACAGGATTCCCCCAGATAAGTTGCAGAACTCCTTAGGGGCCGCCCGTGGTGGCGCAGCCTCTGTGCTTCTCCAGCCCTACCTGGACCCTCAGCAATGGCCCTTCTGGTGTCTTCTCCTGTCCCTGTCCCTGGGCCTCGGGCCCTTCTGGTATCTTCTCAGTCACTGGCCCTGGGCCCTGTGCCCTGTGCCCTTCTAGTCTCCAGGAGGAAAGATGGGAGGCTTTCACCCTGCTTCGCCCTCCACTTCTCCATCCTAGAGCAGAACATTGAGATAAAAAAAAGACAGAAACATGAAAGAGGTCACCCGGAAGGGTTTCTCTGGACTTCACACCCTGCTTTTGCAGACATCAAGTAATTGCTGTTGCACTTTGTCCTAGGTTTTTATTCAAGATAGAGGGGAGTGAGTTTATCTGTCCTTGCTGGCAGTGGAACTCATATGATAAATTTTAATGGCTTTAAATGTGGAACAGTTAGGCAGTAGGAATATTAAGCTACTTTTAAAAATACCTGTATTTGTAACTGTATCCTATGTTATTACGAACCCACTTAACCTAATAATAAAATCACATAAAACTAGAGTTTTTCACAGGCTAAGAAAAGAATGCTTAGATTCTCAGATCTCTTCTGCTAATCTTATTTTTTTTTTTTTTTTTTGCAGTACTGGGGTTTGACCTCAGGATGTTGAGCTTGCCAGGCAAGCGCTTATTCTACTGAGCTATCTCCCCGGCCCCTGCTAATCTTACTCTTGACATAAGTATTCATATCTTAAATGAATAGGTTGGTTTGAATCATTTCTGAAACCTATGAAGCGGAGACTCAAGTTTTTGGGCTCAGAGAAATTTTTGTCTGTATTGAATGTTTTTTGGGATGTAAAGCTGACATCAAGACTTTTAGCTATATTATGAAAACAAAAAAAAAATGATTAGTTCTATCTATGAACTATTTCTAGTATATTCACGGGTGATGCAGAACTTTTAATCTGTAAGGCTGTGAATACCAAATATTAGTGTCTTGAGAAGAATCAAAACTCTTTCATTGTTTTGTTCCTATTTTAAAATTTATTTTATTGAGAAACAAATAGCAATGAGAGTTTCAAAATAGGTTAGTAGGACAGTAGCAATAATACACTGCATATTGTTGTCTTCATAGTAGTTAGTCATAGTACAAGATGCAGACATGACATCCTGTCCAAACACTGTTAGGAAAAATCTTTCTTCTCATTGAATTAAGAGAAAGTAGCAAAAAAAAAAAAAAAAAAAATACTGGGGGCCAGGGAGATGGCTTAGTAGAAAGAACATTTGCCTAGCAAGCACAAGGGCCTGAGTTCAACCTCCGGTTCTGCAAAAAAGAAAAAAAGAAAGTAGTTGTATATCTACCCTATTTTCATTATACAGATATAAAATGGTTCTTCATTTGTATCCACTTTTTTGTTTAATTTTGTCAGAGAAGGGTATTCCATTGTCATTTAAATATTGTAGGCGTGTAAATTCAGCAAAATAATCCAATATAGTCCAGTAGTCCATAATAGTAGTGGGCTATCCGTAGGACTGGCAATGTCAGAAGCTGTTGACTTGAGCCTTTTACAGCTTAGCATATTAATATGGCTTTACTTTTCATACTTTATTTTTATACTTTTCTGCTGGATGGTTAAGACCAAGATAGAGCAAGACCTATAAAGAAATGTAACTTTTGTATGCCAAGGTCAGTCAGATCCCCTCAGGATTTACCCTGAAGCCCTGTACTGCAGTTTGCAGGTCTTTGTCCGTGTGAATGAGTCATGGCCGTTCCTTGAATTGTCTTATTCCTTGACATAAAGTAGAAAATATTTTAACGACTTCCATGTTTGGGTGGGTTTTTCTGGGCAGAGGTGAAAAGTGGAGCTGGTTTGTATGATGATACACCTCAGCTTGTTTCCCGGGTGGCCTGCTTGTTTTGTTGTGACTCTAGTTGGTTAAATAAATTTTGTAAGTTCTTGGCCACATTAGTCGCCTATGCTTAAATGCACTGATCGTAGATTTGTGGTGAAAGGTGTTCTACCTTTTAATTAACTTGTGTGTAGTAGTACTAATAATGGGCCCTTACCTAATTTTTTTTTTAAGATTTAAAATTTCTGAATTTAGTTCAACTTATAATATCACATTTCCAAGAAAATGAGCCTTTTGCAAAGACATATAAATAAAATCATACCAAGATACACAAAAATGAAATTGTCCAAAACTTCTTGTAAAGAAAAAAAATCATTAAAGCATATACATAAAAATGTTAGCTATGGAAGAACAAAATTAAATAGCATCTTATTCCACGTTAGAAAGAAAAAAAAGGACCAAGTGTGTAAGAAACTAGATTAAAGGACTGAAAGAAGATCTGTCCTCTTTGAATTTTATACTTAGCAAACATACCTTTGAAAACTAAAAGTAAGATTTTCTAGTTATACAAACTTGAAATATTTTAATACCTCCAGAAGTAGCTTATAGGAAATAACAAAGAGCATAATTCAAAAGGCAAGAGAAGTTGCAGTATGCTCCTGGATGAACAATAAAGAGCTCTCAATATCATAGTTATGCAGGACTATATAAAAGATATATTCGATGAACCCTTATTTAAAGGTCATTGCAGATTTCTGTGAAACAGTACCAATCTTATGTTGGGTTATACACATATTTTTTTTCCATATATGTGTGTGTATGTGTGTATAAAAGACAGGGAAGAAGTAATATAAAGTCAACAGAAAATGGAAATATACTTTTTAAAGTTTCTAATACTAGGTTACCTAATTCTTAGATGTGTAGATTTTTTTTCTTCCTAGCAACACAGTGCGGAAGTTGAGCATTTAACTGAAGTTCTTAAGGAGAGACATAAAGAAAGCAAGAGACTGAGATCATCGTTTGATGCCCTGAAAGAATTGAATGATAACCTAAGAAAACAGGTAAATTCCACTTTGCTGCGTGTGTAAGACCTTCTGTGGGCTGTATTTGACATTTAGCGTTGTACATCATTTTAGAACATCTCAGCTAAAAAATTTTTAATTAAATTTGTTAGCTTTATTATAAAATATTTGCAGATATAAATAAAACATCCTTAAGCTCTTCTGTATTGGCAAACAACTGAGATGTTTGGCAGTTTGAGTGAGTAATTTTTTGTACCCGGGACCGGACTCAGGACCTTGCGCTTTCCAGGCAGACGCTTCTGCTGCTAAGCTACATCCCTGGCTCAGTGGTTATTTTTTGAGGCAGGGGTCTTTCTGTGTTACCCAAACTACTCTTGAACTCTCTGTCCTTCTGCCTTGGCCTCCCTGGTAGCTGGGACAACGGGCACTGCCCCATGCTCAGAAGTTTTTTAAAAACCAGACAAGGAAACTGTAGCATTATAGATGACAGTGAACCAAAAGAAAACCCTTAGAGCTCTGCCAGCGATTTCTGTGTTTTCTGCGTGCTACTGTTACGGCCACCACTGCCTGTCCGGCTTCGCCTGCTCCCTTCCACGGGTGTGCTCTGCGCTGGACGGTACCAGACTTGTGGGGCAGAGACCTGCCTCGCGTTGCTCTGTAGTATCTATGTGAGTGACATGGAGGTCAACATCTAGTACTAAAATTCCACAAAAGGAATTTTTTGTTGTTTTGAGACAGAGCCTTGCGATGTTCCAGGCTGGCCTTGAGCTCACCACCCTCCTGCCTCTGGCTTCCAGAGTGAAGGAGTGACAGGTTTTTCTGTCCTTTTTTTCCCTTCTCTGTGAAAAAAATGGAGGAAGGTGGTTAGTGAGAGGAAGAAAATGATTGTGTGTGCCGAGTATGTACTTCATTGTTAGCAGAAGACGCTTCTGGACAGAAAGTGAGGTAGCCACAGTCACTTTTTAAAAACACGGGGCTGACAGATTTTAATGCTGCAGGGCTGAGACCTTCAGCACTTGCCCGCAGGGTTCCCTGGCCAGCCCTGCTCCCGTTGCTCTGCTTTGCTTCTGGGGCACACTTGTTGCCGCCCTCCACCCTAGTGGAGGTGCCTGGCTGTGTGCCCCTCCCGTGCTCTGCTCTGGGCTCTCTGAGTCTGCTTGAGACTCCCAGTGGCTTTCAGGGGAGACTGTCTCTTAGGAAGCCTGCTTCTCCCCCAGAGGGGTGGCTGTTGCCATCACGGTGGTGGATGAATTGATGGGCAACTGTAGCGCCAGCTGAGCTGGGAATCCGAGTGCTGGGTGTGGGGGGCATGCCTGAGGATCGTTGCCAGTGGTGTAGAAAAGGTTGATCTCGTGGAGAAGCTTGTTGCCCTGGTTTTCCTGATAGGAACTCGGCTGTTACCATCATCAGAGGAGCTTGGGTCCTTGCTGTCCCTGAGGACGGCTGCATCTGTTTTGGGGGGAGCTCTGACTCTTACCTTGAGCATCGTTTCCTAGCTTCAGTGTAGGTCCCTCAGCCTGCTGGCGCAGATCTTTCATCCTGCTGGTGCAGACTTTCTAGCTTCCACTACTGGCAGCTGGGCCTTCCCTGGGCAGATCCTAGGTACAGATGTTGTCATGCGCGCTGGGCCTGCAGCTGGACTCGAGGCTGTTGCCATGGGCTCTAGGTCTTTAGCTGGACTTGTGCAGGACATTGCCATGGGACCCAGCCCTTCAGTGGAATTGTTTGGGTCTCTAATGTGTGGACAGATCTCCCTCATTCTTGCATTTGACTCTTTATTATAAAATAATCATATGAATTATGTGTCCTGTATTGAATTGTTTCTCTTATGAACCCTGACTACAATAATCGTCTCAGCCGAGCACTGCCTTACAGAAAAGTTCTTCCTAGCTGGGCTGGCTGCCTTCCCTGCCTCTCGAGTGCTTGTGCTGGGTGGTGGACATGTGGGTCATTTATGACTGGATCCGTAGGTTATTTGACTTAGATGTTAGTGTATCCCACCTGAGTTGGAGGAACCTTCTTGGTGCTGAGTAGCAGAGTGCCTTTTTAATGAGGGCCCTTTATTTAGGATAGGTCAGTGACCAGCAGGCGTGTGTGAGGACCAAGCCCTGCCTCCGGGGGCCTACGCAGCAGCTGTGGGCAGCGCGTGTGGCGCTGGTGCAGCTTGCCAGCTTCTAGTGTAATGGATGTGTACTCAGAATTGGCCGGTGGAGGTGTGCTTCTGTGACTGCCTTGCATGGTAATTTGTGAGAGCACAGGATGTAAGCTGACCTTAGTAAAAATGATTGTGTGTGGAGACAGACGCGTTACGAGGACGGGACCAGGGTTCATGTTCGGAGTGATCAGAGGACGCATGTGAGGGGACGCTCAGAGTAGTTTGCAGAGCAGGTTGTCTGTGGAGCCGGCAGATGAGATGCCAAGCCAGTCCTTGGTTGTGCTCCCTTGTCGTCTGACCCAAGTGCGAGTAATCCTCGCACTCTGGGGTGCCGAGGCAGGACGGTCTCAAGTTCAAGCCACGCCTTAGGCAGTTTAGTGACTTACAAAGACTCTCAAAATAAAAAAATGAAAGGGTTGGGGTTTATGTAGCTCAGCAGGAAGCCTCCCGGTTCAGTTCCCACTGCAGCCAAAGGAGGGAGGAAGGATGAAAAATGCCTAGACAGTTGAAGGGTGTGTCGTGTCGTGTCCATGGGTGGGAAGACTCAGTGCTGCGGCAGTGTCACTGTTGCCCAGTATTTATATAATCTCGCAATCTGAAAAATAGCTGATTGCACTGCAGATTGATTTACACACTTTTTTTTTTTTTTTTTTGGTGGCTGGCTCAGCCCTCCCTGGAGGCAGGGCTGGTGCAGCATGCGGTGTTGGGGATCAAACCACCATCCCTGTGCTTGCCTAGGCACTTTAGACCACTGAGCTATCTTGCTGGCCTCTGTACACTTTTCTTTATACATGATACAGTTTTTTTGGGTTTTTTGTAGTTAGGCAAGGGTCTACAGGGTGTTCAGGGTCTCACTACTGGATTGGACTCGTAGTGATCCGCCTGCTACAGCCTCCCAAGAGCTGGGATTGCAGGCGGGTGCTCCCACGCCCAGTCTCACTCGCAGTCTCAGTGCACCGTGGGAGCGGGGACAAATCCCTAGCCTCTGTGCCAGCTTGCAGGAGCTTTAATCCGCTGACCTGTTTGGCTGGCCCTGCATGTTACAGTTTAATAAAAACTACTTGAAAACCTTTTTGCACTGAAGTCTATGCTTATAAAATACCAAGAGTCTTGCAGACTCTTTTGTTTATTTGGTACAGGGTCTCAGGCTACGCGGTTCGGAGTGACCCTCCTGTCTCACCCTCCCCGTGCTGGGATTATAGGTGTGCATCACCACGCCTGGTTTGGGGCTGGCCTGGCACGGCATGCAGTACTGGGGGTTGAACTTGGATCTGTGACACTTGCCAGGAAGTCGCTTAGACTCCTGAGCTATCTCCCCAGCCTGAGTCTTGCAAATTCTTCATAGATTGAAGTAAACTTTCTTAGGTACTAATAATGTTTGACTTCCTTTTATTTTTTAGTTTTTTTGGTACCAGGAAAGCTCAGGGCCTTGTCTTGCAGGGCAGGAGGTGTGTTGCTGAGGCCAGGCACCAGGAATGTTTTAGAACATGGAGATGGTTAGCTTCGCCCTGTTTCAGTCGCCTCTGTTCCGTCATGTGCATGGTGACTAGACGAGGGCTGGAGATGGAGACGCCCTGAATGTGATCAGTTTGAATTTTATGTTGAACTTGCTAACTTTTTCCTTCTTTAGCTAAATGAAGTGTGTGAAGAAAACAGGAAGATGGAGATTCAGGCCAAGAGAGTTCAAGCCCGCTTAGATAACTTACAGGTGTGTTGCCTGCTTTTTCTAAGCGCATTGTGGCATGACTGCCTTGGGATTTGCTTACTCTCCGTATGATTGTGGCTGTGTTCCTTGCAGAGGAAGTATGAATTTATGACCATCCAGAGATTGAAAGGAAATCCCCATGCTGTTCATGAAGTGAAGAGTATGAAGCAAGAAAAAGTGCCAGCGCTGAGAACTTGTAAGGTATGACACAGCTGAAGGCTTCCAGTGCGTGGCCAGCAAGTGTCCCCTTGCTTTCCACTTAGCCAGCATTGTTTTGGGGTCAAACAAGATCATCGTCATAATTCTTCCACAGAGAATAGCTCTGGAGTGTTCGGAAATACCAGAACATTTCAGCCTCGTGTCAGGCACAGCGCCACCAACTGGCCCCTCGGGTGGCGGTGGGTTACTAGCTGTGGTGCAGACTGCAAGTGTTTGTGAAAACTGCAGCCTATCCTAGACCTGGCCACTGATATTTTTTCCTAAGAATTTTAGAACTTGAAATGTAAATTACATACAGTAGCATACCTCAGATATCCCGAGTTGGTGTTTGCCGTGTTGATAAACTGGTGTAACATTTGGGCGGGTGTCCTCATCCCCAGGTAGGTTCCTCTGTGCCCCGGCCTGGTCCTGCCTCTGGGAAGCAGCTGTGGGTCTGTTGCCCGGAGTGGCTTCCCTTGTCTCATCTCTAGTCAGCGGGACTGTGTGTGCTCGTTCGTCAGCATAATGCTGGCTTTGCCAGTTGTTCATTCCTTCCTACTGCCACACCCCATTGTACGAATGCGTCACACTTCGTCCATTAGCTCTGTTGCGAGACACCTGTACGATTCTCGTTTTTGTCTACTGTGAGCGAAGCTGCTGTAAATACTCACGTACGGGTTTGGGGCATGTGTTTTCATTCTCTTGTATATTCTAGGACTAGAATTTCGTGGTGGTCAGGTAGATGTACGTTTGTAAGAAAATGTCATTTCATATTCAAACTGTGTGACAAGCTCTATCTGTGAAGGTTCTGGTGGCCCACAACTTTTCCGGTAGTTGGTGTTTCACTTTTATTCTTACCCTTCTTAGTGGGTGTGTGGTAGTTACTCATTGTAGGCATTAATCACTTTGATAAACTTGCCAGTCCTTTTTTCAACTCTTGTGATAGTGGGGAGCAAGCCCAGAACTTACCGTGTGAGGCAAGTGTTACTCCACTGAGCAGCACCCCAGCCCTTTTTAATTTGTTGAGACAGGTTCTCCCTAAGTTGCCACCGTTTGCCTTGGACTTGTGGTCCTCCAGCCGGCCGCAGCATTGCAGTACCTGGGATTACAGGCCTGTGCTATCATGACAAGCGCTAGTGCTTTACGTAGAGTGAGATTTTATGCTCAGGTACTCAAGGTAGTTGAAGTTTTATCTAAAAGCAGTTTATCTTTTTTTCTATTTGAAAAGAATTGAGAAAGTCAAATTTTTATCAGAATAATGTGGTAAGTACTGTTAGTTGGTTTTTTTTTTTAATTTGCAGATTGTTTTAATTTTTATTTGAGAAAACCAGGTAAAAGGAAAGTACAATTTTTCTTGGAAAACAGAGGAACTCATTAATGTCAAGGGCAACTGCTTTTTATAACAAAAATAAATTATGTACAGTTTAGCTCCTGGTTTGTATTATAATTCTTCACACACAGATACACACGTTTCATATATACACACTGAAGGAAAAGAAAAAGCTACAAACTTCCACGGGAATGGATGATCTGTGGCCACCGTTACTCCACAATAACTCGTGACAGTCTGCACACAAGCTCAGTTTGTCAGTCAGAGCTCGGTTCCACACTGTGGCGAGTGCCGCCCGTAAGTGCCACACGCAGCTCAGGACGCTCACGTACCCGCAACTCAAGGTTCTGCCAAGTTCTGCCTTGTGCCGGTCCAGGGCTTCCAAGGTTGTATATATTTTGTTTTTCCTTCTTTCGGCTGAGTGTATTTTTAAAATTACCTCAGAAACACGTACCCAGCTGTGTGCTGCATGTGACAAGAAGCAGGAAGAGACACGGTGGCCCGCAGCGCCGCCCAGTTTTCTTCTGTCTTCTCACAGCCTTTTAGGACAGTTATTTTGGGACAAGAGCAATGAACTGGGCTCAAAAAGGCAATTCGGCACACGCACATTAATAACTAAAAGAAATAAATCTTCAAGTAAAGGGATGGTTACTATAATTAATAATGTACTTGACTGTTGACAAGACTTTTATGGAGCATTGAGAACTAGTATTTATAAAAAAATCTTTCAAACCTTTCACCATATTTTTTGCCATATGTTTGTGTTCCAGAATAAAGAACAAATGTAGAATAGTACTAACTCAATTCAACATTTATTTAGTTCCATATTACTAGAGAACAAAAGAACATTCTTACGATTTACAGAAAAGTAATTCTCAAATCTCAAACTAAGACTAGGCTGTTACTCAGTTTTCATTCACCTGATTGTTTTGTGATTCTTCTTAGTTGCATTTTTATCAGTTTGCCTTTATATTTTTCCATCTTTGCATAGCTTAAGAGGGATAACTAAACCTAGCATCATTGCCAGCTTAAGGTAGATATATAGCAGATGAAGAGCATGGAATTAAATCGGTCAGCGGTGTGTTTCAAAGGTGTTAAGCCAAAGTCTAGAGCTGCATCTCCATCGTAGGAACTTCGTATTTGGGAGTAAATAATAGATTGCAGCCAAGGGCAGACAGGACAGGCTGGGTGGCTGTGCCGCCCCAGCGCATAGCCCGAAGCATGGCATCTTACGGCGTGGGGACATCTGCGCAGCACCGGCAGCCTCGGCACTGGTGGCTGGGGACCAGTCTCTGATGAAGCCGGCCGAGGGCTGCAGAGGGCAGTGCTGCCCTCAGGTGTTGAGTGGAAGTAGGGCAGGGCAGTCTGTGAAACAGTGCCGCTCTTTTCTGAGACCCTCAACTCCTCTGTAGTGAGGTGTGGCAGGAATGACTTCATCTTGTGTAATGAATTTTACAAAGGAACACTGAAGTCACTCTTGACCCATTTGTGAGTTACCTCTGCACCTTGTTCTGGATCGCTTACCTCCTGGTGTGGTGGGCTTTCAGAGGGCAGGGTTTCCAGAGAAGGATTTTCATGTGTAAAGAAGGCTCTGCTGTGAAAACAAAGGAGACAACTACTGTGGGGGAGAAAACGTATGAAACCGGAGAGGAAGTGCTGTAGCCTTGGAACGTTTAGGTTTGCTGGACTCTCAGATTGGATGACTTCACGTTAGGGAGTTAAAGCCCCTTTTCCTTGTCTGTCTTCTCAGTCTTGGGTAAAAAGCTTCATGGAAGTTTTTATTTTACTAAAATGCAGATCTTTCAGTTGATTGCGGTAAGTTTTCTGCCTTTTCTTACCCAGCATTTAATGTTTCTAATATTAATTGGGGACATGTGATGTGGGTTTCTTTTGCTTGTTTGGGGAAATCTTGTCCTTAGATTTATGTGAAAGAAGCCAAGAGCACTCTATAAATTACTCTGTAGTCACCATATTTTAGGCTTGCCTTTGAACTGTTATGGGGCTGTGAACTGAAACAAGTGTTTGATTTAAATTGTGGCACACAGGTACCTCTTAACGGGCAAGTATACGAACTCTTAACCGTCTTCATGGACTGGATCTCGGACCATCACCTTAGCAAAGTGAAACATGAGGGCTCTGACGTGGATGGGGAAAAGCTACGACTCGCTTCTCAGAGAAGTGACATTCAGGAGAAATGTGTGAAGGTTTGTTTGCAAGCTTGAAATGTATGATTCAAGATACTCAGGAAAAACCTCTGGAAAATTTTATAAATGAAAGATGTTGGGGCCAGGGAGATGGCTCAGTGGGATAAGCATTTCCCTGGCAAGCGCAAAGACCTGAGTTCAATCCCCAGTTCTGACCAAAAAAAAAAAAACAAACTTGGTCTTTCTTTGGGCCGGGGAGATGGCTCACTAGGATAAGTGCTTGCCTGGAAAGCTCAAGGGCCTGAGTTCAATCCCCAGTTCTAAAAAAAAAAAAAAAAAAAAGATGTTGGGGTAAAGTTGGGCATAGCAGTAAAACCAGTTCTGAAAAGATTAATTTTGGACCCTATTAATTTATACTTCTATTTTTCTTAATATGGTAGTAATTTATTTTTTAAAACTAGACCTAAGACACTAACAACATACTCTAAAAGTGGTGAAATAATTGTATGAGTTAAAAAATACATAGTGATGTGGACAGTTCCTTCACATAATTTTAGGGTATGAAACATAAATCAAGCAAGAAGGGGTACAAAATGTATTTTCAAGGGGCTTCTAATTCCTTATCCAATTTATCATGTTATAGGCATTAATGTGAATGTTGGTCTTTATGAGTTCTAGTTAATATAAAGTCTTTAGAAATTGACAACTATGGAAAACTTTGAAGAAAAGACATTAAAGTTTTTTGTTCGTTTGTTTTCACCCAATTTTAGGAATGATTTCATTATTATTAAATACAGGCCAGTGTTTTATTTGAGTGTATTAGTCCCAGTTTTGGTCCTTAATCAGTGTTTCTTTTAATGCCTTTTTTTTTGAGGCAAGGGCTCCCTGCTGGTCCAGCCAGGCTTTGAACTCACTTTGTAGCCCAGGCCGGCCTTGAGCTCAGCAGTCCCCATGCTTCAGCCCCTCAGTGCTGAGATTATAGGCACGCAGCACCATACCTGGCTCTTTTTGTGCCTTTTGCAGCAGTTAGAATAGCAGCTTGAGCCTGGGAATCCGTCAGTGTTGTGTTCCATAGCAAGAGGAATTCAAGTCGCCAGGCTTACCGTGGAGATCACCCAGGACTTTGCGTGGGCCCAGCACTCCCAGTGTGTAACACAGAGGGAGTTAGAAGGAACGGTCAGAGATGCAGGCCCCGGCAGTGGAGTAGAGGACAGACATAGCCAGCCAGAGGTGCTCAGTGTTCACGCGGCATGCCGCTTACCTGTTGTTACCGGGCCGGGGGTCTGAGGAGGGTCTCAGCTAGCCAGAGTCCTGCATCCTCAGATCCCTGCTCCTCAGGGAATTGGTGGAGAACCCCATGCTGGCTTGGGCTGCTGGCAGAACTCTGCCCTCTGTGGAAGACTGAGGCCCCAGGCTGCCAAGGGCTGAGTTAGGACCCGTGTATGTTGTGTGTGTCCCTCTGGCTGTGGAAGCAAAACTCATTAACATCTTTGAATGTTTAAAAAATTATCTTTACAAATGGACACTAACATTTATGTAAATTGGGATCTGCATTGTACTTGTTCTGTTGTCGCCTGCTTTTCTCATCCTAGAATATTCCCTGGTAATAAATACAAACCTAGGTTGTCTTTCTTTATTTCTTTTTCATCTTTTTGGGCTAGGTCTTCTCTGTAGTTCAAGCCGGCCTTGAACTCAGAGCATCCCTGCTACCTCAGCGTCCCAGTGCTGGGATTATAGGTGTGTGCCGGCAGGCCTGGCCAGGGTTGTCACTTTCCATTATGTACTTGACCCTGAAAGCTTCTGAGAGCCTCTGTGGAAGACTGATCTCAGTTCTTCAGGAGCTGCTGCTGGGTAGAAGGAAACACACAAGGAGCTTTCAGATGGGGACTGCCGCGTTGTGCTGCACATCTTGGGGAGGCTTTGTTAGAGAAGCCTTTTCTTTGTCGTTACTCTTTAGAACATCACAGAAGTGGGCTTCCGATGTCTGCAGGTGTCTTGCTCTGATGTTTCCTGTCTTCTCTCTGTAGCTCTTGCCTGTGCTGACGGAGCAGCTGCAGTGTCTGCCGCTGGTGAGCGCCCGGCTCCACGAGCCGCTCGTCAGGTTCATCTACTGGTGCCTCAGGCAGCTGGATGCAGGGGCGCAGGTAAGGGCAGCGAGGAGTTGAGCTGCCGGGGATGCTTGGGCGGCCTGCCCCCACGCGTTTCCCTCTGCGTGTACTCCTGTGCTTGCGAATAATCTTCCTGTAGCTGTGCTGCTGGAATTGTGATGAGCATCACCCTAAACCTGTAGTATTTAAATTTTGCTTGAAATCTTCTGATTCTTGGTATGGTGAGTGGCTTGAGATTGAAAACTAGGTATTTTCAGTCTAGATTGGTTTCTGTGTCCTTTGGTGAAGTCCAGCAAAAATAAAAATGCAGTTTTTATGGCGTTTTTTCCTGTTCTTTAATAAAGAAGTAGTACCCTATTACCCCATATATATTTCAAAATCCAAAATATTTTCCTTATAAAAGTAGTAGGAAGCATCCTGAGCAAGTTTCGCATTGGCTCTTGTCTGAGATGCTCGCTCCTGGGGACACGTGTTGAAGTCGGGCCCGCCGCCCCGGCCCCCCCGCAACCAATCGCTGGCGTTGGGTGCCCCAGTGTCTCAGCGCGTCTGTTTCTAACGTTACGTGCAGGTGTTTGGAGCTGGAGCTTGTGCTGGAACATTTGAAATCCGGAGCTCTCAGCCACGGAGAGCTGGAGAATCGCGTCGAATTGCGTCGCCGCAAAGGGAGCTTTCTGTTACCTCCAGGCCTGCACTTGGGCGCTTTCTGCCTTTCATTTGCTTCTCAGTGGAGGTGTGGAAACCTCTGGGACCTCTGTTACATTATGTTTTGAGACAGGGTCTCACTGTGTGGTCCAGGCTGGCCGTGAACTCCCAGTGATCCTCCTGCTTCAGCCTCTCCTGAGAGCTGGGATGACAGGCAAGCGCCACCACACCTGCTGGGCCTGTATAATTTTAGACATTGTTCTGTTCTGTTACTTGTTTTGCTCTTTCTTGTTTCAGTTCATTCTCTGTGGGACTCCTGTGGCATTCTAGCTAGCATGTTATTCTTTTGAGTATGTTAAGTGTTCTGAGTTGCCAGAGTCCCATGAGTGGTTAGTGGCAGAAGCAGGAGGCCCCTCTGGCTGCCCGGTGTAGGTGCCGTGAGTCGTACCTGACCCACTGGCTGCCCAGGGTCCGTTGAGTGTGGCTGGCAGGCATTGCTCTGAGCTGGAAGTGAAGCTTGAGCTGCAGTTCTTACTGTTTTAGAAAATACATAGTCAAGGGCTAGTGAGATAGCTCAGCGGACTAAGCACCTGCTTAGGCAAGCACAGGGGTCAGGGTTTAGTCCCTGTTACCACATGCCACGCCGGCACTGGCTCTGGGCATGTGGGAGGCTGAAAGCAGGAGGATCACTACACGTTCAAGCTGTGTAGTGAGACCCTGCACAGAATACAAAAAAGAAAGGAAAAAGAAAATACATAGTCATACCTCACTGTTTGAAAGTTATAAAATCGTCATGTTCTAATCTTGCATTTCATTTTATCATTTTGATGACCAAAAACTTTTAGTTCATGTATTTGACTGTGGTATTTAAAATAGGTATATTCTGAGCATGCGTAAAAATATACTAAAATCGTGTCTGTGTTTAACAGCATTCAACTATGACATCAACATTGCGACGATTGGGCGAAGACATATTTAAAGGTGTGATAATTAAAGGAGTTCAAGATAATTCTTCAGAGTGTTCTGTGGTGATTAAACCAAAAACAGCTGCTTTTTTTAAGAGTTCGAATTTGCCAGTGCGATTTTTATCAACCCTCATTGTTCTCAAAACTGTCACTCAAGGTAAGTTTTCAGCTATGCTTGTAGAGTGATTTTGGAGGAGCAGCTTAGAGAGCAGCTCTTTTCCAGTCGGAAGTGTTTTACATTTCCTGCGTGAGCTCTTCAGTCACTCTAATGTGAATTTTGAGACTGAGGTCTGGTGGGTGCTGGCCTCCTCCTGGAAGCCACGGGTGAGCTCCCCTCCTCTTAGCACGCTTTGCTTGCTTTACCGCTCTCCTTGCGTGTGCTGTGTAAAGCAAAACTTGCACTGAGTTACAGCTTTCCACTGGAGAATGCGAGGCGAGCTGCGGCCCGTGGAGCACATCAGCCTACCTGCTGCTCTGTGAATGAATGCTCTGTCCACAGCTGCGCTTATTTGCTGGTGGCGTCCTCTGACTCTGGGCCAACCTTGGAGTTGTGTGTTGGCAGCAGAAACCGTGGACTTCGAGGCCCTTGAAATTGCCCTCTGGGCCCTTCCCGAAAATGTTTGTTGGCTCTGTGCCAGTTTAACAATTTAGAGGAATGGATACATTATTAGAAAGATTTGAAATATCAGATCTTATTTATAACTTCAACATGCTTCTATGTTTGTTGCAGAAATTGTATTGATAGTTACAAAGCTCTTTAGGAAAGCCACAGAATCATAAGATTTCTCTAGTAAATTATACTGAACAGTCTATGGAAAACAGTTCTTCCTGAATTAAATATAAAATACACGTGGGAGAGAAAGAGGAAAATAAAGTTGTAGATTTGTACATTAAAACGATAAAATTGAGGTCCTGATTGAGGTCCTAATGAGGTCCTGAAGAAGTCTCTTTCACTTTCTGTGTTTGCAGTGCTGGGCATGGGACCCAGGGCCTGTGCGTGCGGGTGAGCGTCCTGCCGCTGAGCTGTGTCCCCAGCCAGCAGGAGCAAAGTGAATGGGCAGATGGCATCCTCATGGGTCAGAAGGCGCAGTGTTGTTAAGTTCTCTTCAAATTGACCTATAGATTAAAAGAAATCCTGATCATAATCACATTAGGGTTAGGGAAAAATTGCTAAATTGGTGAACTTCTGATCAGTTTCTTAGGTAGAAATTGATTAGCTGATTTGAAAGTTCATATAGAAGTGCTGAGGACTTAAAATGCCCAAAACAACTTGGGGGGAAACCCTGTAGTTTGATTATGTGACACACTGCCTGCCTTCAGGACCGTTTGTTCTTGATGTGAAGATAGACTTCAAGAGAGCAGGCCAGAGAGTCTAGAAATCATGGCCACGTATCCTCAGCGAGGTCCCAACAAGTCAGTAGGGAAAAAGGTTGCGTTTTGGAAATGATGCTGGGTTCATGATGCGTCTAAATGCAAGAGAGAGAAAAAGGAGTTATCACACGTAACAAAATCATGTCCAGGTAGTCTGTGAACATAATTGAGCGGAAACTATAAAACCTCTAAGGTAAATGCCCAAGGTCACTTAATGACCTTGGATGTGGCAGATTTTCCGAAAAATAGAGCAGTTATTGTGATGAGGAAACAATCAACTAGACTTCATCAAAATTTAAAATTTGGGGTTTTTAGGACATTTTTATGAAAATAAAAGTTCAAGTCTTAGAAATTACTTGCAAATTGTATATCTGAGAACAGTCTTAAGTCTAGAGTGCCACAGACACCCGCTGTGCATGGGGATGTGCTGAAAGGTAGATGTGCGGACAGGCTCAGCCGGGCTGTCCTTGGCTCGAGTGGCCTGCGGCCGGGTGTCCCTGCCCAGAGCCTGGACCTCTGGCTGGGTGGGCTGTGAGCTCCGCAGCTTCTGGATGGTGTGCGTGCGTGTGGAGATCACTTTCACTCCACGCGCCTTCCCACGGAGACGAAGGCTTGTGCCCAAAGGAAGGCTGTTCATACAGCTGTGTGTAACACCTGAACTAAGAACAACCAAATGTCCATCGAAGAGTGGACAGAGAAGCCGTGTGTGAGAGCCACAGAACAGAAGCTGTTCAGCCACAAGAAGGAACATTGTCAGCACCGTGCAGCAGCGGGAGGGGCTCAGCGTGGGTGTCGAGTGACAGCGCTGGGTAAGCAGTGTACTCTGACTGCATTTACCTGTAACTCTAGGCAGTGCAAGGTAGCCTCTAAACAGCAGAAAGCTAAACAGCCCATCATGCCAGAACCCTTAAGTGATGTGGGGGTTTTGGAGGGAAGGCACACAGCAGGCGTGTGGAAGTGTTGAGGGTGGTTCTGGGCACAGGTTCACAGGCGTGAAAACTTCAATGAGTACTTGTATCTATTTTTTATTTTTTTAATTTTAAGTTGGTGCAGGCCTCACTATACAGCTTGGACTTGACCCTCCTGTTTTCAGCCTCCCCACCACACCCGGACGTGGTCTCAGCACGCCTGAGGGCGGGACTGGCGCAGCGTGCAGTACTGGGGATAGAAACCTGGTCCCTGTGCTCTCCTAAGCAGGCGCTTAGTCCATGAGCTATCTTGACGGCCCTCCACGGTGTACTTTAAATGTATGAGTTGTTTATGTGGTTAGACTTTGCTGAAGCTAGAAAACGTTGAGATATACGCACTCAGGAGATTTAATGCTGTTACTTACGAATGAAAAGAAAAAGTGTGCGCTGCCCTCGAGGAGCCCCTGGGCTAGTGTAATTAGCAGCGTAGTTTATGTCCCTGTGTCCTCTGGGTCTGAAGACACTTCTGTGAGCTGTACTCACACCCCTGCACCTCGTCTTTGAATTGCAGGTTTACTTCATTCGCTTCCAGGGCCGCACGTATGTGTGTACAGGTGCAGTGCTTAGCTCTCTTCGGCTTCGTTTGCTTTTAGCCAGCTGGTGTTTAGCCTGCTCCTTTGTTCCTGCTTTTGTCATTATAAGTAATGGCACATTTTCTGAGATCTGTCTGCTGTATTGGAACTTTTTACATTACAGTAAATATACCACGTTTAGATATATGAAATAATGCGTGCATTTTAGCTTAACTTTTCATCTATTTACTTACGTATGGTTTTCTTGGAGAGAGCCTTGCTGTGTGGGTCAGGCTGCCTTGAACTCACTGTGGCTCGGGACGGTCTCCGCTCGCTGCGGTCGTCCAGCCCCAGGATGTGTACCGCATGCGGCTGAGTCTTAACACACAGGTCCACGTTCTTTCTCAGAGAGATTGTAGCTCTTGCATCCTTGCAGCTGCATCAGTCATGCAGTTTCATAAAAAACATTCCAGATCTCAATGTTACTGCTATTTTAATCCACTGAGTAAAAACATGTTTATATGATTTTTATTCACTTCCTGTGTATCTGTCAAGCTTGACTGTGTTCTCATTATTTTTTATGTTGATTTATGTCTTGTCTAATACAAGTTTTCTGCTTATGTCTTTTTTGTATTGGATGATTTTTTAAAATCTTTTTAAAAAATTTACTTATTAGGAACAGGACCTCGCTGTGCAGCTCAGCCTCAGTGATCCTCCTGTCTCCGCCTCCCCAGCACTTGGACTATAGGCATGCGCCACCAGGCCTAGTTTCAGAGACTGGCACAGTGCGCCCGGGGTTCCAGGGCCAACAGGGCGCATGGTGCCAGGGACCAAACCCAGGTCCTTGCGCTTGCCAGGCAGGCACTTAGACCATCAGGCTAACTCCCCAGCCCTGTAATTTATTTATTTATTTGTGTGTGTGTGTGTGTGTGTGTGTGGCCAGCTCAGCCCACCAGGGGGCGGGGCTGGCTGGCATGTGGTGCTGGGGGATTGAACCGCGGTCCCTGTGCTTTGCTAAGCTTGTTCTAAGTAGGTGCTTTAGACCACTGAGCCATCTCACCACCCCAGCCCTGTTATTTTTAAGTAGTGTCAATCCTCTGTCTCTCACATTAAATACAAAGTTTTTGCAGTGTCACATTTGTGGTTGTTTTTGCCAGACTAACATTTTAAATTTTATTTAAATAATATCTGTTGTGCTTCCTGAATTTCTGCTTAGTCTATAACTTATGAAGTGCCCCAGTGACTGGGTATTGAGGGCTGATCTCAGCTGCGTCCGTGCTGCAAGGTGGCCCCGAGTTGTCTGGGTTGCAGGGACACTGACCTCACCTGAGGTCAGGCCCTAGACCTTGTGTGATCACTGATAGAGTCTCCACCTGGGGTCACGTGGTGTCTCGCTCATCCTACTCACTCTATGACCACCTCATTTATTTTTTGTGCAGATTTTTTTCCCTCAGTTATTAGTGTTTAAAAATGTAAAATTTGATTGTGTGTGTGTGTGTGTGTGGTATTAATGGAAATTGAAGCAGAGCCGTTGTACTTCTCCAGCCGTTTTTATTCTTTGAGACATGGTCTTGCTCAGTTGCCCCATTGGACTGGGATTTGTGATCCTCCTGCCTCAGCTTCCCAGGGTATTGGAACTGCATGTGCTCCCAGAGGTGCCTGTGTACAAAACCATTTTTATGTCCTGTAGCCTTTTTTTTTCTTCTCTTTTTTTTTTTTTTTTTTTTTGAGATAGTTCCTTACTGTGAGCTAGACACTTACTGTGTAGTGCAGGTTGACCTTGAACTCACTGTGTCGCTAAGTGTAGCCTCGTACTCTACCATGCTTTAACCTCTTGAATGCTGGGATTACAGGCATGTGCCGCCACGCCAGATCTGTAACCTTTGAGAAAAGCTTCTTTGAGAAGCTAGAAAACTTGTAAAGAGCTTCAGTGAGATTTTTTTGTTGCTGTTATTTCTAAAAGGTGCTTACATCTGAAAATATAATTTTAGGGCCAGGGAGATAGCTCAGTAGAATAAGCACTTGCCTGGCAAGCAAAAGGGCCTGTGTTCAATCCCTGGTATCGCAAAATAAAAAAAAAAAAAAATTCAGGAAATGAAATAGAAATTGAAAAACAAGGCCAATTTTATTATATTTATTTATTTTGGCAGAACCAGGGATTGAACTCAGGCCCTTGTGCTCTCCAGGGAAACGCTTATTCTACTGAGCCGTCTCCCCGGCCCCATCAGTTTTATTTTAATTTTATCACATTTAGAACTACATGCCTTCATCCTCCTACCTTCCGCCTCAGTGCGTGAACAGTGCACAGTTGACGCTAGTCTTCAGCTGCATGTTGCTGGTGTCGTCGTTCATCCTGAGTGTGAGGGTGGCTGAGGACATGGCTGGCATTGTGCTGTGCATCACGTTTCTTTCTGAAGTGTGTTCTCATGGTCACCACCAAAATGCATCACGGCCTTTAATGGAATTTATTGCAAGGAAATAGCTCAAAAAAGAAGTTGATAGTGCTAAGGGTTAATGTGAGAGAAGGCCTGGCGGGGCAGCACCCGCTTCGTGGAATGCAGAGGCCCTGACCAGCCCTGCCCCCAGTGCAGGCCCACTCAGTCTGCCCTTGAGGAGGGGACCGTGTCTTAGGTGGAGGCAGTGGCCACGGTCTTTCTCCCGGATCCTGGCCCAGCACAGCGCTGCTGGGCACACGCATGGCACAGTGCTGTGCCAGCAGCATTGCTGGTGGGCAGAGGTGGGCGTCATGCGTGGGGTTCACTTGTGAGACCGTGATGGGAGCAGGCCGTAGGGAGCTTAGCGGATAAAGTTCCTCGGTTTAGGGACGTTTCTTCTGTGTGTAATCAGATACATCGTGTTCGTCATACGCGTGAGACTAGAGCTAACTGTGCCCTGCCCTCCTTGTCACTTGGCCCTCGCCTTCTGTGTTCTTAAGGTCTGTACTTGGGCTTCAGCCTAAAGAAGCGTCCTCAGACGTCAGGACACTTTGACGTGGTAGGAAGCCAGCATAGGGTAGTAGTTAAGAACTCCAGCTCTGTACTGGAAACTAGCCTTTCCCTCACGTCTAGCGTAAGACCCGTGCCCTGGCAGAGCACTTTGTTGTTTCTGCCCCAGTTTGGCTTTTTGAGGATTAAACGAGGGAATTCATACAAAGGTTTAGCAGAAGTCAGTATGTAGCAGCTACTGCAGATATCAGGAGATTGCTGCTTGTAGTGTAACCTAAGAATTAGGACTGAACGAGATCTGTTAATTGAGGCCTGCGGTAGCTGTCAGTTGTTATATGATAAGCCACCAATTAAAAATCTTAGAACAACAAACATTTTACTTACTACTTTATAGTTTTTGTGGGGGGAGCTTTTAGCTCTGCTCTGTTTGTGGCTGGTCTGTCTTCCATAGACACAGGGCAAGTGGGCAGAAAGCTCTTGACCATCGGCTCCTGACCACAGGCTCCTTGACTATGGGTCACTGATGACGGACTTCTGACCATGGCCTCCCTGACCATAGGCCGTATGGGCTCCTGGTCACAGGCTCCTGACCATGGGCTACAGGGCTACAGGCTCCTGACCCTAGTCTCCCGCAGGCTCTCTGACCACAGATTCCCTGATCACAGGCTTCTGACTACAGGCTCCCTGATCACGGTCTCCCTGAGCACAGGCTTCTATCAATGAACTACAGGACCACAGGCTCCTGGCCATAGGCTGGTTCTGCTGTACTGTCCAGTCAGCTGTGGGTGAGCCCAGGCTCCAGGGGTGCAGAGAATCTGATCATCCCTCAAATCTACCATGTAGGGCCAGCCAAATAGCTCAGCGGATGAAAGCACCTACAAGCAGGCACAGGGCCCGAGGGTTCAATCCCCAGGCCTGCCATGCTGGTCCTGCCCCTGGGACATGCTGAGATGGCAATTGAGACTTGGCATGGCACCTGTAATCCCAGCTCTTGGGAGGCTGTAAGCAGGCCGATCACTGTGAGTTTGATCTGGTAGTGAGACCCTGAACACCCTGTAGACCCTTCCCTAACATACCAAAAAAAAAAAAAAATTGTTATCAAATCTACCATGTAGGGGCCAGGGAGATGGCCCAATAGAATAAGCACTTCCCTGGCAAGCACAAGGGCCTGAGTTCATTCCTTGGTTCCACCAAAAAAAAAAAAAAAAAAAAAAACTACCTTGTAGGTGAAGTAATGGAAAGTTCCGTTCCATACTGATTAATATTAATAGATTGACTTTTAGTAAAGAATATAAAGGATATATTTAAATGTCAGGACCCTTTTAAAAAGAACCCAGTAAAATATCATGCTTATGAAAAGAAGTAAGTTTTGGTTATAACAACACTTAATGCTGTTCTTTTAGAACTTAAGTTGGTCATATTTTTAAAAAATTCACTATTAGAAAAATTAAGATGAGGACATATCTGATTTATCTCTGAAAGGTAAGATAGTTTTTTCAAGAATAATCACAAACTATTAAAGGACATTATTGTAAAGTTGCAAATGCAAAAAAATTTTCAACCTAAACCTTGCCAATGATACATATTAATTTGTGTCGTATACGTTAGGGGGTGCTATGATAAAACTTTTCTTCCTGTGAAAACTTTAGGATGCATCTAATTTTTTACCTGTGTCATTAATAAAAATTGAATGAGTGCAGTGCTAGAGATGAAGCCAGGGCCTTCACAGCGGGCTACCCTGGCCTTCTTTGAGACAGGGTCTCACTAAGCCTTATTACACTTGCAGCCATTCTATCTCAGCGCCCCCAGGTCTGCGAAGACAGGCACGCGCACACGCCCGCGCTGACTTAAGCAGAGAAAGGTGAATTTCCTGGTAAGGTTAGAACAGCTCTAGCGACTTGACTTGACTTAGTGCACATTTGCAGTGCTTAGTTTTTTAGTTATAGAACGACGTGTGGTAATGTTAGCGTTCCTTGAGCTAAGTTCTAAAAACCATGAATATGGAGCGACCGTCCTTGGGCCGAAAGTACAGGTCGTTCTCAAAATTGCTCCATTCTAGTATCCCCCAGCTACCGTCAGTGTCTCATGTCAACCATTTCCTTAACGTCAGTGTCACGGCACAGCTGCCGGCTGGGGCCGAGGACTCCAGCACCTCCATGCAGACTCCCGGGATGGCGTTTCATCCCTGGGTGGGAAGTGGGAGAAGGTCCCGCTGCCCTGTGATGGTGATAGTGACATTAGTGAGGGCGTGGTGACAGGGATCCTGCTCCGTAGTGACTCAGCTCTGACTCTGAGCCTCCTTATGCCCAGTGGAGCATCGTGAGAGTGTCCCGGGAGTAGCCTGGCAGACGCTGTCCCGGCACCATCCTTGCCAAAGCATTGCTCCGCCCTTAGTGACAGATGTGGGTCATGGGCACACGAAAGAGTGCGTTGCAGCTCCTGCGGTTGTCTCCAAGTGGCCTGATGTTTGCTCTTTAGTATGAGACTGAAAACGGCTTACAACCCCCTAGTGGGACTGGGGACCTAGCTCGGCAGCCTAAGTGTCTGCCTGGCGAGCGCAAGTCCCCAAGTTCCATCCCCAGTACTGCATGCTGTGCTGTTCCCAGGCATGGTGGCGCATGCCTGTAATCCCAGCATGGGGGAGGCTGAGACAGGAGGATCACTGTAAGTCTGAACTGTGTAGCAAGACTCTGTATCAAACAAAACACTTTGTATAATGTTTTGAAGTAGATATTTTAAAACCAGCAATAACAAAAGATTACAATCTTAGAAGCTGTTGGAAATAGAGAATAATATTGCTGTTTAAAAATTTGGAAGCATATAGTTATCAAATACATGAAATACTATTAATAATCATTTTCTTTGTTGATGTAGAAAAGGAACTGAGTTCTTTTAGGCTAAGACACAGAAATGCTGAGCAGGATTTGCCCCATCACAGTGTCTGGGTGCTAACAAGTTGGGGGGTCTCGGCATAGCGGCCCCCTCCTGCTCCGAAGCTCTGCTCTCCTGCTCTGCCTCATGAAGCGCCTGCCGGGATGGCTGACGCACAGGGCTTCCCTTGTTTTCCAGCTGATTACCTGGCCCAGGCATTTGACTCCCTTTGTTTGGACTTGAAGACAGACGAAGGGAAAGCCTTGTTTCTGGAGTACCAAGCGGTTCCGGTGATCCTGGGGCACCTGCGGGTGTCCAGCAAGGGCCTCCTCTCCAATGCCGTCGACAGTTTGCTGCAGATGACAGTGGAGTCCAGTAAGTTGTTGTGTTTCGCTCATGTGGGGTAATTTTCTGGCCCTCGTGGGGCCCAAGTATGTAAGCCACCTGTCAGAGACCACTCTTGGTACCGTTCAGGTGCTTAGAACACCTGTGTGGTTGCGTGGTGGATGACGTCTCTGCCAGCCCGGCCTGCTGTGGCTGAGTCCCCTGAGCGCACCACGGGCTGCTGAGCCTCTCTGTCCTTTCTGTCCCAGGGTGCTCCCTGATTGCTTGCGTGAGTAGGGGCACTTGACACCTCTCCGTGTGAGTGATGGCAGTGAGAGAGGCATGTCCTGCCATTGCCTCTGCCACTCCCCACTGCCATGTCCTGCCATCTCCACCCATATTGTCTTCGGACACGCTTGGGCTGTGTGCCGGGCTGATCTCGGCTCGTCTTGTGATGTTCTGGGGCCTGTGGGAGCTTTTCTTCTTGCTGTCTGTGGGTGTGGGGAGCTCTTGTTACCTGCTGTGAGTGGTTCTTGGTTGGTGCAGGAAGGTGCAGGCCAGGGCCGGGTGCTTTGATCCACCCTTGAGCTTGGGATGCGTCGCCATGTTGCCTGCAGAATCTTCCTCTTTGATAGTCTTCCCTCCTCTCTGTTCCTCTTCCCTCTGCAGCACTTCCAAGAACAGACAGTCCCTGCAGTGGGGGACCCTGAGTGGAAGGCCTCTGTCTGGTGGACAGTCAGCACCCGCGGCTGGTGTGCAGTGTGGCTGGTGCGCAGTGTCTGGGCTGGCCACATTCTTGGCTCCTTCTCTCTGTGGTGTTGATTTTCTTGCTCAGTGTCCTGTGCAGGAGGCTAATCAGGAAACCAAGGCCTCGAGAAATTAGGCAAGTTTCCCAGGAACCTCACAGCTGGACAGAGGGCAGCCTGCGACGATACAGCGAGGGATCAGCTCTGGACTTGAGGTTCATGTAGCGCAGCCCTGTGGCTTGGCTTTCCAGGGTGTTCTTTTTCTCCTGCTGCTTTTTTTCTCATCTGCCACTTTGTCAGTGCGTTCAGCCTTGACCAGTGGCTCGGGTAGTGGTTCAGGCGGGGGTGGCAGCCTAGGTGGGAGATTTGGAGCTTGGTGTATCAGTGAATACTGTGAGAAGTAGAACAAAACATGAAATGATTATTGTTTAAGTGGCTGGGTTTCCATCTCATATTTTAGAAATTTTCTATTTTAGTAAGAAAAGCAAAAATCCTACCAGACACAAGTGTCTGTCAGAAGCAAATCTTTCCGGATACGCTAGTATCCTTGTAGTTGAAGAACTAACCATAGTGGTGCCCTACTTCATGAGCTCAGTTCTCCATTACTGTGGTTGCAAACTGGACTAGCTGAGAACTAGCAGACTTTCCCCAGAGGTCAACATTGAACCTAACTGTCCGGTTCTTATCTGTCTCGTTGCAGCCAGAATCATGGAAAGCACCCAGTCTGTGGACCCAGGTGCCACTGTGTGATGTACTGATCCAGTTGAGGTGCTGAGTGCGGGGCTCTGGCTCTGCTGTGCACATCTGAGGAATGGGGTCAGGCTCGGCGGAGAGTACCCGAGTGTCTGCGCCTGTCCACCTTTGCCCCAGGCTGCAGCAGAGCGCCAGGGCCAGGCCCGGCAGGGCTAGGAAGGCCAGGCTGGGCGGCCCTGCGCCTCTGACACCCAGGGGCGGGCCTTTCTGCTCCCGCGCCCATCTGCGGTGGAAAGGCTGCCCAGACACATTTAAGTGCATTAGGGTCTGTGCCGAGGTGCATCTCGAAAGAGAAACGCGTTCTGAGCCTGGCCTCAGTTCTGTGCTGTGCTGCTCTCTGGGGCGGTGGGTGTCATGTCACAGCTCAGTGGTGGTACGCTTTCTTTCCCTTCTGTCAGTACTTTTAAAGAGTAACCCATTAGGGCTGGCCAAATAGCTCCTCGGATTAAAGCGCCTGCTTAGGCAGAGGCATGGCTGGGGTTCCATCTCTGGGCCTGTTGTGTCGGCCCCTGTCCCAGGGCACACTGAGACAGTGATGGAGACTGGGCATGGTAATCCCAGTGCTTGAGAGGCTGAAAACAGGATCACTACGAATCCGATTTGCATACAGAGACCCTGTAGATCCTGTCTTAAATACATTAAAAAACAACACAACAAAAAAACCAAACAAAAGCCCCCATTCCCATAGCTCATAATTGCAAAGGTGCAATAGGTGAAAGTCTGTCTTTCCCTTCCTGGTGGGCACCTGTCTCTTTTTTGCTTATATCTTCCTTTTTGTCAGAAGTGTAGCATGGTATAAAGCATGGTATATGTTACTGTTGGCACTACAGAGTGAAGATCTTCTCATGCCAGTACTTTATTTCTTCAGATAAAGTCTGTTTCTTTCACCGGCCCGGCCTGGATGGACATTGAACTGCTCCTACTCTGCTAACTCGGCCTCTATGAGGTCAGTCTGTGTCTTAGTTACTTTTCTCTCATTGCAGGGACAAAAAACCCGACACCCAAAATTAAGGAAGGAAAGGTTTAGTTAGCTCATAGTTTGTGAAGGTTTCAGTCCATACTCAGCTGGCTCCAAGGCAGACTGGCACGTGTTAGAGGGCAGCAGTTCACGGAGGCGGTAAATAGCAAAACAGCAAGAGCAAAAGGGAGGAGCAGCAGCAACAATGGCTACAGAGAGCATGTCTGTCTCCCTTAGGTTGCATTCAGGCTATCTGCCCCAGACCAGGTGTAGCCCTCACACCCATAATCCCAGCCCTGGATAATGAATTAATCACAAAGTCTGGAAGTCTGCCCCATAACTGTGTGAGGCTTTGGGGGGACATCTAGACACAAATCATAACAAAATGCCCATGCAGAACTCTGGAGTAGTTGTCTTGAGTTCTCTTGGGTAGATCAAACGTTTCTACTCCCTTGGGGCACTAACGCTGATGGACAGTAACACTGATGGAAAGGTGGCCCGAGTCCTAGGGGAGAGGTGCCCCGCTGTGTCAGCTGTCTGGTGGCTGGGGCTGGGCCATGGGGACAGCAGGCATGTGGTGGGAGCTTCCTCCAGAGGGTGGCCTCGGATCTGGCAGCGGGGTGCGTTTGCTGGGTCAGAGAAGAAGGAAGCATTGGGGCTCCCAGGAACGGAGAGTTAGGGGCAGGCCTGGGCCTGGGAGAGTAGCAGGCTGGTAGCTGGGCTGGAGTCCAGTGAGAACAGCAGTCTTCACAGTGCTGCCAGGGGCCCAGAGAGACGAGGAGGCCACTGACCAAGGGATGCACGCCAGCGGTCCGGCTTTGGAGACCACCTGTGCTTTTCATTGTCGCTTTTTAAAAAAAATATTCATAGACTCTTACTTAGCTTGAAGGATGAGAAACTGAAAGTTTTGGGTGACATTGGATGTTGCCGTTTATAGCTTTTGAGTCATCAGAACTAGGAATAAAAGCCTGGCTGTCTAAAAATAAGACATTGGTCCCATTGATAGCATGTTAATATCAGAATTGAGGAAGTTTTTCTAATATAATTTTATCCTGCTTACTTCTTGCCTTTGAGTTCTGAGAAGTTTGAAATAGCTGGTATTTGAGAAAAACTCAGGTGCCAAGCAGCCCCGCAGCATCACGCATGCTTGTTAGCAGTAGCTGATGGCATGTGGATGGATGGGTTCTCAACCGAGGGTCCCCGGCGTGCTGAGCGCGGGCGTGCTGAGAGCGGGCGTGCTGAGTGTGGGCGTGCTGACCATGGGCGTGCTGACCATGGGTGTGCTGAGCACGGGTGTGCTGACCATCGGCGTGCTGAGCGCGGGCGTGCTGACTGTGGGTGTGCTGACTGTCAGCATGCTGACCGCCGGCGTGCTGACTGCGGGCGTGCTGACCGCGGGCGTGCTGACTGTTGGCGTGCTGACCGTTGGCGTGCCGACCGCGAGTGTGCTGACCGTCGGCGTGCTGAGTGTGGGCGTGCTGACCATGGGTGTGCTGAGCACGGGTGTGCTGACCATCGGCGTGCTGAGCGCGGGCGTGCTGACTGTGGGTGTGCTGACTGTCAGCATGCTGACCGCCGGCGTGCTGACTGCGGGCGTGCTGACCGCGGGCGTGCTGACTGTTGGCGTGCTGACCGTTGGCGTGCCGACCGCGAGTGTGCTGACCGTCGGCATGCTGAGTGCGGGTGTGCTGAACACCGGCGTGCTGACCTCCTGTGCTCAGGCGACGTCAGCAGCACACGGATTGCTCCAGGGTGTCAGTGGTCAGCTTTCCGTTATTTCCGAGGTCTCACAGTCCCAGCATCCTGTGTGTGTTGAACTGTTGTCTGGGATGGGGAGCTCCCAGCCTCCCTTGCTTCCTACTGAAAGCAGCCGTAGCAGCACTGTGCGCAGGTGATCTTCCCCACACTGAAGACTGAAGCGTCCTCCACCAGGCTGAGGAAATGGGAATTCACGTCAAATGCCATCACTCAGAGAAAGGCCCTGAGGGGCTGGCAAGGTAGTTCAGTGGTCTAAAAACCCCTGTTTAGGCAAGTTTAGGCAGGCTCAGGGGACCGTGGTTCGATCCCCAGCACCACATGCCACGCCAGCCCTACTCTCAGGCCGGGCTGAGCTGGCCAAAAGAAAAGAGCCTTGAGATGATCTCAGGGTGACTGAAGCAGAGACCACAACAGAGCCCTGGCACCGCATCCTCCCCAGGCTTCGCGCCCCTCCTTGCTACAAGAGTAAACGTGTGTTCATCATGCTGGTGGTCCATAGGGCGCAGGTCGAAGTCTGTGGAGAGTCTTTAGGAGAACTTTCACTTTCTCATAGAAGGAGAAGGTGGTGGGGTAGCTTGAGTCTGTGCTCACAGCTGCTCGGGAGGCTGAGGCAGGAAGGTCTCTTGAGCCCAGGAGTTTGGCACTGGCCTGGGCACCGTAGGACGCTCGTCTCTTGGGGAGCAGATGTGACCGGTGGGTGCTCCTGCCCTGCCCCTCGTTCACTGTGTTCTCCGGAGCCTTTGGAGCATGAGGCCGTTACACATGAAGATGAGCCCAAGGCTTGGTGGCAGGAAAGGAAAACCTGAGGCTGCAGTGCCATTTTACCACTGTTCTCC